CCAACACCGCCGACTTCGAGGGGACCTAATATTGGCATATCACATACTGCATCAACCCAACCACCCTTGCCGTTCTCTGCTGACTTCATTTCATAATTATCACCTCAGGGGACACCCACTAAAGAAGAGCCACCTTGATTGCCGGTATCACTCGTTTGCAGTCAGAGTGTGTGGCGCATGGAATTCTCTCCAATCTGATGTAGTGTGTGCTCCTACAGTTGAACTATTTAAATCGCAACTTGATAAAGCATTGGAACACTTATAATTTCAACAACCGTGAGTGATCACACACATTATTATCATTGTTATTTTCTCTTTGTAAAGTTATTCAAAACATTCTGTAAAAATCCTATGGGGCATGATAAGCTTTAGCTTTGTTAAAACGCCCATAATAAAACTTTGACTTTGTCCTCAACCTAGAACCTGCAGACTTTCCTTAATCCCGTACAGCTCAAAAGGTAGCAGAGCTGTTCCATACGAGCTGATTAACTTTTTGTACCGCCCGTTCGCCGCTTTCCGAAAACTATTTCGGGTAGACGAAGCACAACAGGAGTAGTAGTGGCTGCACTCGCCGCATCACATCGCTGTCTAGAGAATTATGCGATTGTTTGTGTGTGTGTGGACAGTGCTATCCAAGAGAAAACTTCACCGGTTTCTTAAGCACTTAAGCCAGTGGTCATCCGCGGCCGCTACTTTAATGAGCCTAGACCCAGTGTATTCAAAATTAACCACCAATCCCTCATCTTTGATCTAGTGACCTACCCGGTAGCTTACAGCTCTGATTCGACTGTATGTATGTTAATTAACAGGAGCTGCAGTTGTCATCGCTGCTGTCCATGGAACATGTGTATCCCTACCCTCCTCTCTCTGTGTATGTGTTTCATCGATTAAGACGCAGTTTCCGATTGACTCTTTTGGTGTTAGATCAACACTGATGAGGTGAAATGGGTTCTAATTTCACCAATCGCTTTGTTCTGTGCCCGCATCTTCGCCGTACGATTGTTCGTTTGGACAAAGGGGAATTAAATGCTTGCTGGCTTAGGGCTGGGGATTGCATTGTTGCTACAATGTGCTCCATGATATCCACACGGTTTGATTAATTAAACAGCATGGTGTGATTGCATAGGGCGTGAACTAGTCACCATTCGGTGCCTTCGTCAATATCATTCTCATTTGGAAACAATTTTTCTCTTGTTTACACAGTAAGTAGTATTTATGTATTCTTGTTTCTGACTTTGTTCAATGCTAGACAACAGTTATTGATCGTTTAGGTCTTCGAAAGCCTTAATATGGTCGGGGGTGGGTGTCTGGGATTGTGACCGGTCACCATTTCCTTACACCTCGCGAAATGCTCCTATATGACCAAGCGTCTCAAATAGCCTCTGCTGATGAAGCCCTACTCGCTGCTTTCTCGTGGTGGAGATGTTTTCGCATCAAAATGCGGGGCTATAACCGGGTTGGTGAACCATTGGTAGTTCACCTAGGGGAGTTGGCTGAAAACCCTGATTGCAAACTAACCAAGAAGAGGCGTAATGAACCACACGCACACCTTTCAGGTTGCGGCAGTAGTTACCGGCTCAATTGGATATCGAGGTGTATTGGTCACCTTGGACGGTTGACCCCGTCCAAAAGGCGTAGGATCCATTGAACTGGACACCGGCTCTCAATGGACTGCGGACTCTGAGCTCCGTCCTGCTGTTTTGCAGGCCAGGCTTTCTAGTCAAAGGCTTCGGGTGGGGACCCCGAGGTTATTCCCCTTCCTCGATCAGGGCCACCGGGAAGTAACATGCCCACACAAACCATGAACACGTTCTTCAAATTTCGTTCTGTTCATATGTTGTGGCACATTTGCCAGTTCTCTGTAATTGGTTACGTGTGTTTACGCCAAATTGAAGATACCGATATTCTGCTTTCATGAGTTAATATCGATGCATTTTGTTTTCTTCCATTTCATTCATTATCGTGCTCTATATAGTTTAACAAACTCGTTTACCACTTTCTTGTTCGTGCCATCTATCCCATTCCGGTTCACACCCCTTTTTTGGACACGTGACATACCATCTACAGTGAACAGTTTGCGGTGGCAATGCATCTAACCACGGAACAATTGGCCTCCAGTCCCTATTCCCGCCCGTTACCCGCCGTGCTTCCCCCGGCACTGGTTCCACCCAGTTTGCGTCCAATCCCACCGGATCCGGCCATTTTTGAGGAATCTAACAAATTGATCGCGGAGATTGAGACAATCAATCGGTAAGCGCGCGAGCGAGCAAGCGAGAGAGAGAGAGAACGAGTTATGTAATAGGCTTTACGGTTTTAGGCTTTTTCATCCCACTGTCTTTTTCTGTGGTTTCGTTAAGCGATCAACTACTCACTCACTCACTCACACACACACACACGTTGTATTCATTGTGATATGTTAACTGTCGTGTGCATGTTTTCTCCAGTCACATTCTTCCGGTTTTCAGTCAGTCCTTCAGTCATCGCACAAAATTCTCTCCCTGTGTGTGTGTGTATGCGTATTTATAAGCCGCCTGATTGATTTCCTTTTTCTCAGCTCCACCTGAGAGAATGCCTATCACTTACTGGGTTCAGCCAGCCTCGGTTGGGTTGATCTCCGGATAGCGCATATTTTCCCGGTGATAGAAAAGATACGATTTTCTGACTGTTATTTTTCCCGTACACCAGTCTCATTGATCTGTCGTGATTGACTCACACATTGGATTTTTCAGTATCATGTGCTTCTTCTCTTAGTGATCTGAACAGCATTAGATTGTGACAGATCAACACACACACGGGGCGGGGCGGGGCGGGGCGGGGGAAGGGAATAAATAGAGGAAGCAAAAGTGAACAGTCACCGTAATGTTTTTGTACTACACGGCAATCAATGATTCCATTTCAGTGCTCATTCTGTTATTAAACAAT